CCACCCCAAGCCTGAATTTGTTTTAATGATACCCTTCTCTCCTACAAATCCCATTGCCCCTCCCCATTAAAAAAGGGATTGCTCTTAATCAATGCACTATTAGAGTGCACAAACTATTCCAATCCATGAAATATAAATGTCCAGTTCCTAACTGGAAATTCCATAACTGATCCTAAACTATTTTATACTAATTATCATTATTAAAATTAATTAATTAAATTCACAGCTGGTTAAGTCTGTGCACTCTATGATAAAGTCTTTTATATTTAACATGTGTTCCTAATTTTCTTTGAAAACAATTTTAGAAAATAGCAATCCATGTATGGCTTTAAGTTGGACACTTGTACGTACTCATCCATTCAAATTCATGAGTTACTCCAAGGTGCAGAAATAATACACTTATCGCTGACATGACATGCATTATTTGATGACTGTTGCCAAACAAATCAAACTGGCCTGGATACCACTTCTCAGGAATTCTTGCAATATTGATTAACCCACCAACACATGCAAAGCTGTCCATTAAAAAACAGTATTTTAATGCTTCATTGCTTCCACAGCCATAGCCCAAAAACTTCAGAGCCAGACGCACACACAGAAACATGTACCTCAAGACACCAAACACTGCCATGGGAGCAAATCTTTCCTTTGGAGTTTTAGCCCGCAGGATGAAGGATAGAGAAGCACAAGAAATAATCAAATATGTCATCACAGCAAGATTTCTCCAGATTGGAAAGCAAAACAAGGTAGCCCTGATTCCACAAAGAGCTCCAAATGCATTGACTGCCCAAATGCCACACATGTCGAAGTTCAACAGACTGTCATAAGTCTTTTGACCATGGTGATGGCACATAAAGAGATGATATATGAGACTTGAGAAGAAGGGGATGAAACATGAGAAATAGTGGAATGAGAACCAAAATGGATTCTGCAGGCATGCTTCTGAGGCTGTTAGAGGAATCATAACCACAAATAAAATAAATGGAATACCTGAAAAGTAAGGAAACAAAAATAATATTTGGTGAGCATATATATACATTGTAATTATTCTGATTGACATTTCAGTGTTAGAGTTTAAGAGAATGATTAAGCTGCCACAAGGTTTCTAAAATAATGCTTGCATTACACCAATCAATGCCACATGGCAGTTTTAATACTATGGCATTGTGTGTTTAGCCTGATGTCTGCAGAGTTCTGCAGGCAATGTGTCCTAGAATGTAATATGGCTTGCTGGCAATACAGCTGTATGTGCCAAAAGACAAAAGCTCTCTGCCAACATTTGCCACAGTGTGTCAACATTACAGCAGCTCAATCATTTTCATAGAAGTTACACAGTTTTGCTAGATGTGCAAATGGCAAAATTTGTTCGACTGTTGAAAACTTAATATGCTAATTACCAGCAAGCTGTGCTGTGACGTTGGCGTAGTTATGTCCAAGATTTTTGAATGTATAATGCTATGACCCTTTACAGGGCTGTTAAAACCTGGGAGGGTGAACTTATAACTTGCAGGGCTTATAAAATCAATGTTTCCCATCTACTGTTGCAGCAGGATGGGTACCCAGAATCATTTCAAACATGAGAGCCAGAATCCTGTTTTATCCTGCATTTCCTTTTTCATTTGTATTTTTAAATGGATTATTTTTTAGAAAATCTAACATCACTACAAGTCTTATGCTATAGCAGTCAAATATGTGATGACATGTGACTTTATATGGAAGGAATTTCAAATGCAAACTAGATTTATTTTTCTAAATTTTGTACATGCACTATCAATAATTAGATTGAATAATAAAATGAATTTTCAGCTCCTTGAGTTTAATGTTTTTGTGTTCACAAACCAATGAAGTGTAATAATGACATAAGCTACATACTGTCTTGCTCTATATCTAACAGAGGGTACATCCTGTACACAAACTCCATTCATGTTAAACAAGCTGTGAGGTATTTATAGGTTGCATGGTTTTGTTAATGTATTATTTAAAACCAAGGGCTATATGCTGCAGTGATATTTGTGAATATACGATTTGTACCTGCTAGAATGTTTGAGATCCCAGTATATTGTGGTCTAGTGGCTTTCAAATATTTTCAGAACTTGACCAAAAAGAAAAAAGAAATTCTAAAATGAAAGCTTAAAGAAACGCTTTAGCAGAATCCAAGTCGCAGAAAATATTTATTCTTTGGAGAAATATAGTTACTTTATTCAACCATAATAAATAAAATTTATCTGAGTGGGATGAATCTTAATTTGCATATCAACCTCTAGCTTCTGCTAGAAATTTATTAATAGCCCACAGATAAAAATATTACTGTAATTTGTAAAAGTCTAAGCATATTAAATTTTCCAAATTCTTAAATTAAACTAGTTATATTAATCATTAGCTGATAAAATATACTATAAAGGCTAAGGAGTTCAGTATGTTTTATAGTTTCGAAAGCTAAGTATGCAAAAAAAAAATCTTTAAGTGCAGATTACTTGTCGTGAATAAAGAGACGTCAAGTCTGAAGAATGCTGTAAATATTCCACTCACCATGAGAATAAATGTTAACAGATTCATTGTGTAGATAGGTGAGACTATCCAGGCATTCAGACATAGTAAAATTACAACGATAACCGCTCAAAACAAATTTGTTAAACTGGAGCCATGATGGACAAAAATGCCACGATACAAGCCGTCGAGGTGGTGTTTTCTCCTCCGTGATCTCAGCTACAGTGTCATCACTGTATATCCAGGGCTTGATTATTCTCTTAAGGACCATGTTGGAGACAAATACTACACACCTGCAAGCTATTCGATGGAATGGTCTGATCACCTACATGTCAACAATCAAACAGAACTAATTCTTACCAGGCGTTCCGGGCACACTCGACACCAGTCTACTTATKAATTAATTACATAAATTTCACAACTTGACTTTCACAAATAAGATAAAGAAAATAACATCAAAATATTCGTAATTTTCGTAGAATTCGTAATTTATCTTCGTTAGTCGCGAAATCTTTTAAAAGCTTTGAATATTAAATATATGTATATACATATCGTGTTGTATTGATAGCGCGCATGGTATTATGGGTAGAATTCAAAATGGCTGACGATCGAATAGGTTCTTCAGAGTCTTCTTCTGATGTGGAGAAAGAAGTCCCTCCCTGGGCCAAAGGGGAAACTTTAAGGCATGTAGAAAGGGACGTCCTGATTCCAAAAATAGTGCGGGAAATATCTCGAGAGAAATGCAAGCCATATCTTGACGGTAAGGCTTTCTGAAATCGTAAAATTTCAGTGTCAACTGTATAAGATCTTATGCAACCTTAATTTTAATTATTTTTTTAATATGTTTTTTTWATACAAAGAATTCACCAATTGCTGTAAAGGTAGAACATTATCAATGGTTTGGGCATGCAGAAAGGAAAATCGAGTAATGCAAGATTGTCTTCAAAAATAGTAAGTGTTTTGGTAGCCCAATCGTTCAATGTGTCTTTTTTTAACATGCACAATACTTATACAATATTTTCGTCAAGAGCAATGCAGAGCAATGCTTTATATCGCACGATTATACATATATTTTTACATATTTTATGAAGGGCAAATTCAGTGATTAATGCACAAAATAATATAAAATTTTGATTAAATTTCAGTCAATCATTAATTTAAGCTTAATAATATATTCATTATAAAATTGTATGGCTTACCACTTGTCAACAAGTTTATAATTGTGGTCATTTCATTGATTATTCCACCAGTTATTTTTACTCTGGCTTGAAATGTTTGTAAATTGTTAGTGTTACGAATACTTAATAAACTGAATATTTATCATCTTCCATACATAAGTTCACTGGTCAAACAGAAAACACTAAATAGAGGCCATACAAGCTAATTTCAAAGGGTTATTCAAATTTGAACCTCACAGCCTTGGTTGATTGCTTTGTGTAAAATAGAACAGAGAATGGATGTATGGAAAGTAGTAAATGATGTTTGGGTTACAGGTGTCATTGGGATCCCTGTGGGGCTGTACTGTGGCATGGAAGAAAGTCAAGAAATAACCATTTTCAAATTCATACAATACCACTGTGTTCCTCAATTAGACTCATTTACTCAGGGTTAGCCTTATTTTGGTTGTTAGAATATTTACAAAATCCAAGGGCAAAGTAAAGGATGCCCATCTCAAATAATACAAACACTTTGAAATTCCACAAACCTTACTTGTGATGCATGAAAATTGTACTCAAGTTTGAGGCTAACCTTATAAGCAACTCAGAACTCAAAACTGAAATGTTGTAAATTTTTGCTCTTTTAAGCATAAATTTTCACACACACACACACAAACAGGGATTTAGCACTAATTTCTAATATTGCAGTTATTTATTTTTTTAAATGAACTTATGTTGGCCTTAAAATGTCTGCCATATTGTTCAATATATTTTTAACCTTTAACATCAAAATTTCAGTTTCAAAGACAACAGTATTTATGAAGAGGCAAAACACCTATACTTGCAGAGAAGAGATGAATTTCAAAAGGATTATGCTCAACATGGAGAGAAGACAGAGTTCAAGAAGAAAGAGTCAGTCACATTCTAGTGAATGTACAATGGTGCAGTGTGGTATTTATAGCAATGGCTTTATCTTAGCCAAAGCATATGAACAGCCAAATTAAGAATGGAAATTTATAGCAGTTTTGTGATATTATGTGAACTCACACTAACTGTGAGTGGTAAACTGAAATGTGTTTTTTTCATTTCCTACATTCAAAAATATTATTATTGTGGCAGTGAAAAACCAAATTCCTGATATTGAAAATAATTGCTGTTTAGTCAGGTTACAAGGCCAGTCATATAACTTTCTTCTTTTTGTAAAACTTTCATTATTAATTAGTGAAAAAAATATGAATTGCCATATTCCATCAGAATAGGTTATTCCAAAAGTCACATGACTGTGTGTTGTTAATATAACACTTATATTATCAACTCTTCAACATTGGCTGTCTGTATCACTCCTCAACCACATCAGATATGCAGGTAGAGGGAGCCATAAGTGATACAGTCGAAGAGTTGTTCCATGGGTCTTGATTGGCAGTTTCTTGGAGTTCACCGATAGGGAAATACCTAAAATTAATTAAAACTTAGATTTCAATAGCTGCAATTACTTTTTTATGATGTACTCCCACAGTTGTATAACATATAACATAACACATTGGTATTATTTATGCCTAAAACATAAAACAAAAAATATTTCTGACAATGTAGTAATTTATATTACTCAGGATTTAAGATAAATTCTAGTCAGTTTCCAGTCATGGTGACTGGCCAAATTAGTTTTAACTCAGCTGTACCCATCCTCGGGAACCCAGGGGTAAAGTTCTGTAGCATAGTGTTACTGGTCAAAATGACTGTCAGGACAAAGATTTGACCAGCAGACAAGCTCCAATTCTGGTCAGACATAATGTCTGTTGACCAGCTGTTATCTAAGCTTTGTTTACTTTGTCTTAAAGCATTTGTGTTATGAAGTTTGAGACTATTAGAGTAATGTTTTTTGCAATTTATACCTTGATCTTTGGAACAGTTGGTACACTGAGGAAAGAATCTTTGTTTCTGACCAGGCTTTACCAACTTGTTGGGAGGAATATGGTCACCAATAAACAATGGTGATCTCTTAGTTCCACAAGTATGACAGCCATACTTTCTCCCTGTGTCAAATATATTTGCTATCATTATTTTTAACAAAACAAATTGGTTTTGTTTGTATGGGCATACAAAGCTGCAATGTCAAAAAAACCTATGATGTAAACAATTGTTGACAATGCCAATCTTCAAATCATTGCATCTGCATACAAACATTATTGACTCCTCCCCTAAGAGCTCTTCCAACTAATCAACATGCAGTACTGACCCTTTGAGACCTTGATAGGGAGGTTGGGAAGCACTCAACTATGGACCTTTATCATGCAGCAGCCATGTTGAATAGAACCTTAGATTTTTCCCACATGACCTTGCATTCAAGTGCCTCATAATTAGCCTGTGTCACATTCCGGACTTTTTCTCAGTCAAGTCTGTCGGACTGACTTAACCAAGGCTACTCAAAATGAGGTTGCTTACGGTATTTATTCTCATTTGATAAAAGTCTATACAAGCTATTCACAGTGAAATAATGATTGTTTGATGAGCAACATTTAGGGGTGCGGAGAGCTGGTAAGGGTTAACTTACAAGGGCAGATCCAGGGGGGCAGAGGGGGGCTGAAAACAAGGTTTTTTTATATTGTTTTCCGTTGTGTTGACGAAAGAAAATCAATTAGTCCCCCGCCTAAACTTAATCTAAAATTTTGGCTGGATCCGCCCTTGAACCTATGGTGTATATGATTACTCTTTTCAGCTAGGTGTGAAAGAGAAGGATAGATGTATGGCAATTATTGATAGTACATACTATATTATATATGTGTAGCACATGTAGAGCCCCTTTGAAAAACTCTTAAGAGACATGGGCTCCCTGTTTAAATATTATTAATCATAAGTAAATTGAAGTTACAAACCTAATTTGGTCAGTTTCTCCCTAATAGCATCAGATGCATACAACTGACCAGGAGCTGGTAAAGACACTCTTGCAAATGCACCAGGATGCACAAGGCTGCTTGGCAGGACCGATCTAAACCTTCCTCCAAAAGCTTTGAATACCATTAGACTCCCCAACGAGTAGAGCAGTAAGTCGTAATGACTGTAGCTGTACTGAAGCGGAGAGATCAGAGAATCTAGCTTTTGTTTGTAGGTCTCAAAAGCTCTAGTCGAGATGTCTTTAGAAAAATTTACATACAAAACAAATAATAATGACGCTATGGAACCAGAAACAGCGACAGAAAATAATCCAAAAACAGGTCCGATTAGACGTTTGTTATTTGTTATTCGAAGTGGACGAAAAATAGCAGTTTGAAAGTAACCAATACTGAGTGGAAAAGCAGCAATGCCCAACACTGTAGCTTCTACAATATCACAAGCTCTTACGGGTCGCCCATTTTCTTTCCTTTTTAGCCTGAAACCGTTGAGTATTTCTTTAGACTTTGCTCGCAAACTTTCCAAAACTTTTCTCAAGAACTCGTCCGCCATGATTGTTTCAGTTGTCTGCTGATTATTGGGATCCCTGTGTTTTTAGTATACCACAGGGATCCCAGAAAAAGGTCCCAAGGAATTTATTACAGACAAGTTTACGTTACCTTGGCGACGTAATCGAATTGCATATTGACCTCTAACAATGGAACAACAGGACAGATGTAAGGATTGTTGCGTTGATTACTATACCCCGTTGCTGCGATCCTAAAGAGTGAAGTATGTCTAAATGGGGCAAGAAATGTGAATTATTTATAAATTAGTTCGTTAGAGATCAGCTAGAGTATAAATATGCCGGAGACCGAGAACCCAAGAACGTTCATCCGTCCCAAACCGATACCAGTACCACCGCATCGTGGCCTAAAAATTACTGCTAGGAACTCCACGATCTACACATGCGAAATACCCAACAGAAAGCAAGTAGCACACGAGAACTACACCCGTCGTACACACCAAATGACAAAATGTGGGTACCGTTCTGTAAATTACAAACCTTATCAGTCCATTGGAGATGTCATACTGGACGACAAGAAACTGATTCTGACTGCGTTGGGACAAGACGGCGACCAATTCACCCAGGTAAATGAACAGTGTTCGTATTCTCATGAAATTAAAAGTAACTAACGAGCATTTTTATATCTACGGAGTCACTTGTTGAACACTTCTAATGAGCAAAGAATTAAGCCTACTCAGTGGACTTCGAGTTTGTATATTACTTTGGATTTAACTTTGATTCAACAATGTCAGACGAACATTTGTAATGTTTACACATGGATATTTCCATTGCGTTTACTAACCGGGCCTTACTGACGAAGTTATTTAGTTCGGGAAAGTTTCTCGGTTGCAGGTGAAGTGAAAAACAATCCAGTCCTCATTTATACTCGTTAATCTAAGGGCTTAAATTTTGATATTCCAAATGACGCGGCTCTATCCTTTCATTTAATAAATCTCACGCGTCGCGCAGAGAAAAGCAGCTGGATAAATTTGGACCCTAAACCTAAAATTTACTCCATGTATTATCAGAATACTATTCATTCGGGCTTAGCTATAAGCTGCAAGACTCTGGTACTGCAGTCTAAAGATAATCATCTATAAATCATGGGAAAAAGAAGCTAGTGTACGTGGCGCAGGAGTTTTGACCTTTGATACAGTTTTGATCATACTCGGGGAGTATCTTGAATAAAGCACGTATTGATAGTATCCTTGCAGTTTTACCAAAGTCTATACCAATTTTAATTTTCCAAATATTTTTTATCGTTGCACGAAAAAAATATTCCCATCTTTATCCATTTTCCTTTTTTTCCTGGTTGGCGCTCAAGAACGCCAAAAGTCTTACTTTTACTTCTGGGTCTATTTTATATTAATTTTTTTTCTCGATGTTTTTAATATTTTCATTCGGCCATCTGTCGGCTGTTTGAAGGGGTTTGTTTAACTTTTCGGTATCTTTTGGCGTTCAAAATCCTTTGTTTTCTCTCAAAGACACAGTGTGTGTACATACATATGATAACAACTCTGATGCTCTTTTTCCGTTTTTTTGTTTGATTTTTTCATGAATGGTCTTTTTGTACAAATAAACTATCCTATTCTTCTGTTTTCTGAAGAACTTAGATCTGCCGGATATTCTAGAAATAATTTCATGAGAAAACATTTCTAACTTCAAAACAAATTAAATGATGCTGGGATGGTGTTTTGGATTGAACTCCTTCAAACGTAAAGTTTCCCTTGGGATATAAACATGCGGTAAATAATGACTCCAAAAAACTAAAGCAAATGAACAAATAAACGGCTTCACGAAGGTTAAACCATGCAGTTACCGCTTTATTACCTTTCACGTCATGTTTTTGACAGTTCGTAGAGTTATTCAGTCTTTTAATTGGAATATTTTCGTTTCCAATTATAAATGAAACTAGTCAAAGCTTCTCTTTTGTCAGTAGAGAAAGAATGAGTTAATCCTGTCTTTCTTTACAATAATAATAATACGGAAAATACGGAACCAGAGTACGACCTACAAACGTAGGATTCGGAGTTTTTTCACCAAGAAATAGACTCTATTGCCTTGCGTCGTGGTTAGTCGGAACCATACCCATGTGTAGGATTCAGTCTGGTTCTCACTAGCGACCGACCGACCAAGCCAGCCGACGCAAGCATAAGCACAGGCGCAACTCAACGCAAGAAGAACAAAATCTTCCATCCGTTCTCTTGCGCTTGCGTCGCTTCTTGTCAGTGAGAACGTGGATCGATTTGCGTTGGCTTGCGTCTCTCTGAAGAGCCTGACTTTAGCGATTACCTTTTTTTATGTACCGAAAATTGTTGCTATAAGTTATTTTAGTAAGGCTGGTCGCAACAAAGTATCTATCTGTCCAAACGTACGTGGTCGCTACTAGGAGGTTTTTACTATTGACATCAAATGAGACAAAATCCGTCCAGTCACATGAATAAAAAAATAATTACAGCCAAACCTTTAGAAGTAGTCATTAGTACCGCCTCCTTCCCCTCGATGAAACAATCGAAAACGTCCGCTACCCGATGAAGGTTACTCTCGCCCGCCCTATATAAAGTTAGAAAAAATCTTGCAATTAATTCTTCTGTTCACTGGTATACTCCACTAAAAGTCTATGCATATTATTGTTTCAGTTTCAAGATCATTCAGACTCATCATCAAGTGATTCTGATTCAGACGATGAACGTACACAGTCAAGAAGTCCTCTGGCCAAGGCAAGTCCCCCTTTTTTCTCGTATATCTTCTTTAAAATTTTTTGGCCAGAATAGTGAGTGCGGTCCATTTATAATAAAAGCCTTGGTAATAATGTGTGAAGTTTACCGCGCGCACCCGTTCACGGTACGGTCACGGTATGGTGTAATGTCTTGTAGACAGACATCGTAGTCCTAGTGTGTGGGCCCACAGACCATATAATTAATTAACAGAATTTATAATTCCTGCCTTTTTAGGACCAACAGCCTTCGGTTCCTCAAGCGACAAGCTATAAACCCAAGAATATGAATGATATCCGCGCCCAGGTCAGCAAGGGAAGGTAGGTGTAAATCGGTTTGAAGAGAGATACATTTTAGTCATTATTACCATACCTTGATGGGTCAAATTTTAGTTGATACACCCGTATCTAAGTTTATCTAAGTTACATGCTGGTATGAGTTGTATAAATATGGAATTTTGTTTCTTCTATCTCTACAGAAAAAGGATCAACGCTGTCAAGCTTGGGTTTGGTCTGTATCGAATTGTGAAAGAAGAACAAGAACGTAAGGTAACACATTTTTTCATTTCGATTTTCTGGCTCTGTAAGATTTTATCACTTATTCCTGGATGCTTCCAGGAAACTATATCCCGAGTTTGCCTCTCTCGAAACTGTATGACCTTCCCTGGCCCAAAGCGCAGGTGAACCAGTGTTTTCTATAAATATCATGGACGACATTTATTGAACCAATCGCCTCGCGCAAGATCACGGGTCATCCTATCAGAATGCTCTGGACGTGTACCGTATCATGCAGCTGCTTTTAAGGCTCATACCGTGAATTTCCAACAGTCATACAAAAGTTGTTCTAATGTTACTAAATTTCATGGCTTTTGATTTTGTAGCAAGCTGTTGTAGACGAGGAAAGACGCAAGAAAGAAGAAGCTGCTAAGAGTGAAATGAAGCCACCATCATCTGATGATGAAGAATCTGATGACGATGACATAGATGACGAACTGAAAAGGTGAAAATTGTTAATGGACACCTTTCCGCGCCCATTATGTAGATTTGAATTTAAAAGGAAGTTTGTGAGGCTAGATCTTTAGTTATAGCGTCACCTCTCTGTGGTTCTCCACAATGCGTTCCATTTATTATTGCGGTCGACAATCTAAAACAATAGAAATTTTGCACCATCACGTGCCCACGTCCATAATACAGCTTGCCAGTTGGGTTGCCAGTGGTTAGATGGCAGAACAATAAAATCCCTTTGCTCTTAGGAATTGAATTCTTTCTTATGTAAGACGATTTTTTCGTTACTGCCATCTAACATTGCTGCCTTCACGTGATGGTGCAAAACCTTTATTGCATTAAAAGAAACTATATATTTCGTTATCATTATCAACTTCTAGTTTTGATTTCTTTTTCAGTTTGATCATACCGTTACCACCAAGTCCCACTCTCAACACTGACAGAAGGTAAATCAAAATCTTCAGTTTTAACTCACCTTCTCTTGATAGAGCTTCTCATACTAGTCAAAATGCATTTTTTAGCAATGCATTTTTTCTCATCGATAGCGAAGGGAACGCTTACTCATAACCAGAGCGTTTGACGTTAAATTGAATCATTAGAATTTTAAAAAAGATAAATTTCACGCAGGGGGAAAAGCCCTGAAGAAAACTCCCTCAAAGCACAGGAGTGAACCTGCAAGCAACTCTGCTCACTGTAATACTGGGCCGGTTTGGATTTCGAACACACGCGGACCACAGCACTGAGAGGCGCCCATTAGTAACAAACACCGCCAAGGGCATTTGATATTTTTCTCTTATTCTCTCTACTCCATTATATACACACCGAACGCATAATTTATTACTAACAAACACCGCTTTAGGCGGACTTACTTTATATTTTATACCACTCTCTCTGTTCATCAGCTTTGAAGACCATCTAGATCCAACCGAGAAGAGCGACCGACCCGACACCTCTAGTTCTACTAGCAGTAACCAACGATGGAAAAAAATACGTAAGTAAAAGGATATAATAATAGCAGGGTAGAATYCTGGGATCGGATTTTTCTCAAGAATCCGTAAATAGAAATCAGATGAATAGTCCTAAGATCCGTTCTGCTTTCTATCATTTTTACTGGAAGAATGAAGGGACTTTTAAGCAATCTCTGCTTTGCATCAAGATTACCGAATGGTTTTTCAGTCGGTGAATAGATTGTCCTTGCTTGTTTTGGGTAGCATGTAATAGCCAGTGTCTAGCAAACCTGTGACCCTTGTTTCATGATCGAATTGGAATTTAAGAGTTGACTTTCGTGGAAGGAGGAAAACCGGAGAACACGTAGCTTGGGAAAAACCCCGAAGCACAGGAGAGAACCAACAAACAACTCAAAACAACAGTCAAAATTGCCGGCATTTTGGTCGCACGAAGCCAGTTGAATTCCCGCGCAAGAGAAACAAGTCGACCGCTTACGACAATTTTGCTCTCAAAAAAAAAAAAAAAAACTCGTTGGCTAATTTTTTTAGCGAAAACAAAAATAACAATGGAGGCCTTGCGGCATGTTTATATCAAGCGCATGCTCCGTTATGCTTATAGGATCATAATGTTGACATTTATTGCCGTTCCTGTTAGATTCAACTGTCGGTGCTACACGTACGCCTGCTACTCCTACTGTAAAAATCAGTTCTGAGACGCCACCGGAATCACCTGTACCACAGGACATGGAGTATAGTCGGTATGTACCCAAACATCTAATTATATTAGCAACCAATCTCGGGCCTCTATTGGCCACTCTTTTATTAGCCCAATTTACGCATATGACGTGCGCACAATTGCACTCTATGCGCAAGTTGAGCAGGCCCGATGTTCCTTGATTTCTTATCATCAGCGTGCGCAAAACAACACGTGCGTTTGATTGGGCAGCATTTAGTCGAGCATGCGCAGAGCCGGTCTACTAACTGGTTTTTGTATTGTTCAAGAGTAAGACTTTCTCAGCGCCTGTAAGTTCGAGATGCATGCCTTCATACCCATAACATTGTCTTAAAATGAACATAATTTGACTCTCTTTGATTTTATATTTTAGCTCTTCGACGGATTTTTTCGTCGCTGACCGTCGTAATGTAGTCAGCGCCCCATCAACGCGACAAAGAAGCTTCCTAGCTCCTCCTAAGTCGGCCAAGTCCGCCTCGTCACTAACCGGCCGTCGATCAAGAAAAGCACGAAGTCCTCGACCCTATTCTCCGGTATACTCTAATATTAACTACGAAGATAGCACTGATAGGTAAGTCATAGTCAAAGTAAGGCTTCTCCTTAAAGATAACGGTCCGTAGTTTTTGTTGAGGTAGTTGAGTTTTTCATGGCAGACGTCTATATATGACTACCTGTAATTCATTAGACAGAGCGTTTTTGTAATCCAATGAAATTGCGTGATGATTGCGAGCATATCTTTGTGGAGATTTTGATCAAGGATTCAGTTATCCTCCAGTCACAGACATCAGAGTTATCTAGATTCAGTGAATGCGGGAAATAAAATCGTGCAACTAATTGTTGTACTACATTGTTTTGTTGAAAGTTTTAAAAAGGCTGCTGCTCTTACTACATTGCGCGCAACAAATTTTCTTCAGGAGATTGCATTAAATTAAATTTCATTTCCTGTTTTTATAATGCAGAATAAACGTTTACCGCCAGTTATGCGCGTTGCTATGGATACTAGAGGCAATGTCACAGGATCAACAACCTGCTGTCATGCCTCCAATAACGAGCTGTTGGAAACTCAAGTAAGGAATTGTGTTCTCTAGTAATAGAACTTATGAGAAAAGGCTTGGTCAGTCTAAGAATCTAATGTAACTGAAGTCATAAAAGCAAGCATCATTCGTTGATTCTTATAGCGATGATGATGATGATCGATGACGATTGTAATGATGATGTCCTGATATTAATGATAGCCACGATAACAATAGGTGGACGTAATGTTTATAAACACTGCCATTGTGCTGTTAATGTGCCAACCATTTTAACAAAAAGGTTTTGACACTTTGCTGTATTGGATTGTCCAATAGATTTTTTGGTTGGCAATTCAAATAACAATGAACCAAAACCGAAACAACAAAAAGTAATGGTGATAAGATTAATGATGATAATGATATTCTTGTTTAGGCTTTTAAACGAAGATTCAAGGTTTATAAGAAAACGTGCAGAGAAAGATAAGACAACCGAGAAGGACTGGACGCTATTTAAACAGGATCCTAACAGGTTTACACAGGTATGACAACATCTACCTCCTCATTTTCTGATCTCTTTAAGCAAATATAACTTCATAACATACGACGTTAGCGCGTACAATAGAAACGCAACTGCATCTCAGTCACATCATGTCCATCTCAGTCACATCCCATCCATCTCAGTCACATCCCATCCATCTCAGTCACATCCCATCCATCTCA